GGAGCACCTCCCTCCCTCCCACAGCGAACAGCAAATCAATAAAAGTTTCCGCTCGCCAGGTATTCATTTCGGTAGACAACGAAGCCTATCGGTGCGATCGTTCGAGAACCTATGATGCGATTAGACGATTTCTGAGATGTTTAGCAATGTGAACGATTTACCCTAGCAACCAGTTTGTTGGAGTGTTGACATAATCCCAGTGACTCAACTGTACTGATATCCTATTAGTGTGATTTTCAACGCGTTTTCGAAAGGTCTCATCCCTTCAATTGTCCGGCATCCAATTCATTAGGTAGCACACGCATTCGCAATCGTTACATAACATGTGAATTTGAACAAAACACTCACTTAAAATTGTTGGATGTTGCTTGATTTTAGGAACAATTTTGATTACATCTGTGCATTTTATCCAACTTAACCGGTTTTTAATTTAGTCATCCCTACTCATTCAACTATCAGGCTCCGACGGCGACGTGATAAGAACAACCATGATCTTGCGTATGCTCATCAGCACCCTATCTTCTTATCACCACACATTAGTTCTCCCACATCTCTAGTTTTCCACTACCCCAAGCTTGATTAACATCGCTAATAGTAGCATGACCTCCAAAAACGTCCCCCCATTTTCGTTTTCTTTCCATGCCTCTGTTGAAAGAAATGAATTTTCAGCACCACACCAATCCTTAGACCTTTTCTCCCAATTAATGGAGAATGCCTTGTTCTAATCACTCGCCTGACAACATATTTTTGTGTGTTCACCGGAGCAGTATAATTCATTTTCTGCATCATCCTGCACACGGGATAAATCGCCCGAAAGCAACGTTGTCATTGATCACGTCGCCTGTGGAGTGTGCACGCATCTGCAAATAGTTTAAACTGCCAGGTAGGGCAAGTTTAAACCCACAAAAAGAACAGTGATAATTAGGAACAAACTGTTGACGACCGCAACCGCCCTTGCCCACACCTCACATCGTTAGCCAAGTTGAAGGGTACTGAAACCAAGTTATCACTCAAACCCTAGCAAGTAATGTGAAACTTGAACAAGCCTATCAGCACTTCAGCTTGCTGAAAGCAGTCTTCTTGCCTCTTCCTAAACACATGTCTATAAAACATAAAGGAATATAATTTATTCGAAACACACAACAGTATATACAGATACCCATCTGGCACTACCCGTACGAGGAACGATCTGAAGTGAAAATTTTGCGTACAAGATGGGAACAAACTTATAACATAACGACACTTGACCAATTATCCAGAACGCGACCGCCGCACATGTTGAATCATTGGGTGGCTGAATCGCCGAGGTACACTTTTTTGATCTAAAGCTGAACAAATGGAACAAAACATTCTACAAAATCTAAAATTGTCTAGAAACATGTGTGATTAACCTTCGATAGTCACCGAACGTCCGTACACACGAACAAAGAAGTCATCGAGACCAAATGGATCCTTTTCCTCGTCTCGACAGCTCTGCTTGCTGGGTGGCTCACCATCATAAGAATTCTGAACGATAGGTTCAACTCGAGTTACTAGAGTCCCAGAGGACTCAACACCCTTGTTTTCCCTAACGCTTCGCTTACCGCCGCGTTTGCGGCGACGAGCTCTACGCTCACCCAAATGCTTACACAGAGACTGGATGAAGCCGGTCTGCAGCAGCTCGAGTCGGTAGTCGCGCTCCTTTCGACCAAACAATGCACGCCGCTTCTGGATCGCAAGTGCCAGCAACTTCGTCGGAGACGTCTCCATAGGAACGTAATCGTCCTCACCAGAAGAGGAACTTGGTGACGATGAATACACGTTGACACGCATCTTCAAAGTGAATAGGTAACAGTGATAGACGAGAAACGTACGGATTGGATGAACGAGACAGCGTCAACCGCACGCACACAGCAATGAGAGAGACTGATGCCCTCGACGACCACGCCTCTCGTTATATGCGAGGCCGCGCCCGCGCGCACATTCGGCCGCGCATAATGAGCGCGCACATTGATCACCTCGACCTACTCCAGCTGGGTCAGGATGATATGGGAGTGCTGACGGAATGTAAATAAAGCTGAGTCATTTCTACTATGATCAATACAATTTATCCAGTTAATAGCCCATTTTGCCAAAAGTCGATAATGGATTTGGAGCTTGAACGCTCGCGAACGCAGCGCAGGCCCCTCTCGTGTTTCGAAAAGTTATTGATCGGGGTCGGGCTGCAGACGGGGCCTGTGACTCACCAGCGAAGCAGGATGAGGAACTGAGACGGAATTCGCGAGGCGATGTGTGGGAGCGTGAGGGTTTTTTCGAAAGCTACAAAATAGAAACTATTTCATCAACATTGTTAGGATGTTGTCCTAAAGGTAAGATCATGATCAAAGCAGTGGTGCATTCTACATGGGATTCCCAAAGAAATAGAAGCAGTTAATAGTTTTTATGCCAATTTGTAGCAAGTGTTTGCTATCCCGAAGTGACGAAATGGTGGATTTCTGTTGCTCTCATTATTTCTAGGAATGGGATTTTGTCCTTCCATCGAACTTGTTGGTAAAAGGGAACCCAATTTGAAGTATTCAGGCATCATTCAGAGCCAGTCACAGACGAAGCTCATTCAGAACCACTCAGACAAAATTGTAAAATTAGTATTGGAACCATCGAATCACCTACCTATATGGGATTCTTGACCAGTCAACGCCGTTCTCTTGGCGTTAACTGTGTTCTTCCGCAGTTCCGATTTTCGAAATTCTAGCACTGCACTGTTATAGGGACATATTGTTCAGTGAGACTGCTAAGTAGATTTAGGTTGATTTTCCAAGCAGTTTTGTTGGTAATGGCACAATGAACGTTTGGAAATACTCGGGATATTTCGTCCTCAACTGTTGGACCGAATATTCCCTCGTAAGGGTGCTTTAATGCATTCCTTTCCGAAATTATGAAGCTTAAAAGCTCTCTGGCTGGTAAAAGCAGAGTCGAAGGATGGCTTATCATCGAACTCGAGTGAACTGACTCAGAAGTGAAACAGATTTATTTGGAATTGTGGTTTTCACTTCGTTTCGTTTCGGAACTCCGCTCGAACAATCACGAGCTTTTTTTCCACCATGTCATGATCAGTGATTGAACTATGCTCATCAAATGACTTGTTTTTCACCTTTCTCATTACGGTGACGTGTTTCTGGGATCGATTTAGCAGCGTAGGCAGTCACGAGCTGTTTGGGTGGTCGGGGCGCCGGCCTCGTCGGCCTCGTTGTCTGCGTCGGGGGCCTCGCCGAGTATCGATCCGCGTTAGCACTTCGCCAAGTCATGCGCCCAACCAACGTCCCCGCATAAAATTGCACGGGGGATGGGGGACGTGGGAAGAGAGGGGGCCTCTTTTGCTTGGTGATATTGATGTAAGTTGTTTTGACCATCAGGTTACATAAGTGTTCATTCGATTGAAGTCAGTTAACAGCGACATGGGTAGTTTTTAGCACAAAAGTTCCAGTGGTGCTGTTTATTGCCGGTTACAGCAATGTGAACCATTTTATGTGTTCATTTTTCTGAGGTGTAAAATGCCCCCACACACCAGGACCAGCTGGCAAGCAAAACTTGCTTCATGCTTTGATGTAAACCCCGCTTGGTGAATTCGGTTAGACGAAAAGCTCAAAAACGAAGAAGTCTGTCAAAAATGTCACATTTGTACCATTCCAACATTTAGTCCATGGGAAGGCCCATTCACTCCCCCTGTATTACATATATCACTATTTTGGTAGCCCTAAACATTCTGAAGCTCATGTTTTATCCTTGTATAATTCAAGTATTGGATCGATAATAACCTGACACCTCATATCAGCTGTAAACTCAGGTCATATTAACACAAAGAAGGTCGAGTCGATATGATTGTAGGAACTGTTTGCTGACAATTATTGCCCGAGGGTGATCTCGTTAAGAATGGGTCACACTAAAGACACGAAAGATCCGTATTAGCTCGTCGGGAAGTGCTAATGGCCTATAAAAACGCCTCTAGAACTTTGTAATACTTGATTGGCTTAGCTATCATTTCCCATACGAGGTGTGAATGTGTTACGAAAGACTTCTCCAGAGGAGAGAGTTCAGGAGTGGCATTCAAGAAATTAATGGAGACCCAAAATTATGAAACTATTGAGAAATAATAGGGGCTTCTTTTCTTTGAACTCGAAGCAAGCGCTCAGGCTACTATTTGAGGGTGAAGGATCGGAGAAGGATATTTGTGACTGGGAAAAATCTTGTATTTAATAATCGAGAAGTTACAAGTTTTCTCTCAGAAACCTTCGAATTCCTGTGCCCTTTTTACAAAGGCTTCTTTTGCTGTCGTCACGAACATCATTCACGATCACCTCCCATCCTCTCTACGTATACAAAACGTCTTTGCATACTTTCAGATCAACGGTTTCAGCACAGTATCATTTCAAGTTAGCGCCAAGACTCATGGGTGCGCTGAGTTCTTTCTTCTAGAGATCAATGCCCAGAAACTAGTTTTGAATGCCTTCCTCGCGGATGCTCGACCAGCTTGTTCACTTTTTTTTCGAGTTACAGCTGCAGCTGTGCAAGGCTTACGAAATTATTCCTCGCACACATGACATAGCAGCATTTCAGCCATATGCCAAACATTTTCTAGAGTTACTTTCTTCTCAGGGGATCTATCTAAGGGGAGAAACACTGGCACCTGGTGTTATGAGAACGATATCACTATCGAAACGCTCCTTTGCCAAGAGGGAACGGTTGAAACAAGCGACTATCTACTCACCCTTGAGGCCGATTTGAAGAAGCACCTGTAATTCGACCGTATAGTGGAATCGAGCAGCGGCAAGCGAGAAAAATTCGGCGACTTCACAAAGATAAGGCTCCTCAAATAGTGCAATAGAGGTTGTACGAGATGCCACGACAGAAATGACGTGGAAGGGGTATTTGCCACGAGGTTTCAGCTGTTGCAATTGCTGAGAGAGCTGACTAAATCAAGTCTAACTTTTCAGAACTGCCTTTCACTGTCTTTACGGGTCACGTCAAGTTGTTGGAACGTCTTACTTGGGTTCCCTTGTATATGGTGCAGCCTCTACAACGCCGTTGAAACTCATCCTCGCACATACACGGGACAATCTTTGAGTCTTTATTACGCCCTATATGGGCCGTTTTACGACCTGATAGCGCCACATATGGTGTACGAGGGAGCCACAGATTTATCCTATCGGGATATCTTATAAGCCATTCTTATCGTGAACTATGCCTTTTATTTGCGCAAAAAAGAGAGGGAAAGTGCCGGGTCAAGTATTGGAAATGTCATGATTAAGGCTAACTGTGCAAACGCCTCATGAACTTAGTTACCCTCCTAAGAAACAAAAAAAAACGAGAGAGACCCGCATTCCTTGTCTCGGTGACTAAAGATTGATCGTAACTGCAGAGGGTTCCCAGCTCCGTTGAGGCTGGTGGCAAGTTGCAAAGAAGTTCGTAAGAGATTGGTAACGAACCAAGAGCCTCTCTTCAGTTTATGCCTCGACAGCCTTAACAGCGAATGGCCTTTTTCTCGCTTCTACTCTGAACACAAGTATTAATCTGCTCTTGCCGATATTATTGTTCGTATTTATGAGCTTGGTGTGGTGACAAGTGGCGCATTATCTTAACACATGGTTCGGATTCGAATCCTCTATCCGATGCTCACCCAGACCACTGAGGTCGTCTAAATGGTACCAGGTTTATCAAGGAGGATAGAAGGGCTGACTTGTGCTTCAGCTGACCACCGCAAGTCATTGTATGAGTCACAAATGTATTCAAACCGGCACAACGATCCTGAACTGAACCCAAATGCGATGGATGCATCCCAGGGATGGGATTGATCGACGCTTTAGGCTTCTTATTTCTCTTCTCCTTCCACTTTTTTCTCGAGCCGCCGCTTCGCCATTTATCAAGTTGGTCTGAAATCCTGCGGCCACCACTACAGCTTCCATCGCTGCAATTGTGCTTTCTTTTGTAGCTAATAGTTAAATTATTAATCATTTCTTTCCAGCTTTTTGTGACAGCATATTCATCAGGCACCTTCATATTGTGTGGTGGATCTTGAAGACATCTATGAACCCGACAACCATGCCGTGCTTCATCGCTTTCCTGCATAGCATTGCAAGTGCTTGCGCGATTTCCCGCAAGCGACTCTATACTAACATATCAGATTGAGAGGAGAGACATCGCTCAGCTTCTCTAGGACTCTGGTCTTTGCTTTTCTAGTTTGTCCATGAACTGTTCCACGAGCCGGTTGTACTTTCGGAACTCTTATAAATCCTCCTATGAACCGCAAGGGTGAGGGGCGAAGTGAATTGATGACGGTGATGGAGTTTTTTTTTTGTCTTTGCAGCTTTCTCTACACGCACTGAAAGTCAGAATCTAACAGGAAAAAGACGGTGGTCCCGTGTAAAACTTCGGAACAACAGCGACGCATTTCAGGCAAACCTTCCGGTTGAAAATAATGTAATCTATTTCATCATGAAAATGTCTGTTAGGTGACTCCCATGTCCAACACAAATGCCACACATACGCTTTGCACTATTTCAGGCCCTGACGAAGGCGAAGCAGCCAAAACGTTGGCCAAATAAACTGTTCAAACTTGAAAGGCTTAAACAGAATTTCTCTTCATCATATATCATGCCAAGACTGCGAGGAAGTCGATCGTGGACAAATGCAAGTTTTTCTGGAAGTGCGAATAGCCACCGATGGGGTGTGGACATGATAACCTATGACAGCCTTTCACCCTGCACATTCCGTTTCGTTCTGTGAATCGTGATATGCTGTCCATTAGCCGTTCTTCTTGGCGTTCAAATCACGATTTT